CCCCCCCCCCCGCTTCCGGCCCTCCGAACGCCCGCTGTCGCCTGTTGTCTTCGTTTCGTTTCGCGACCTTATGTTGGGGGTATACTTGCTTCTCGATTTGGTATTGTTCGGATTGGCTCGTTTTGTTGCTGTTCGTCTGTGTGACGGACGACATTGGCCTCGCTGTTGGGTGCGAGCAGAAAGGGCAAGTGTGCAAGATCACACGACCTAGCGAGACGGCAGGGCGATACGTGACCTACCGCCTCTGCATTTAGTTGTGTGTTTTTCTGATTTGAATGTTAAAAAAGGCTCCTGTCAACTTCATCCAGCTGTGCGTGTGCGAACCATTGTAGGTCGTTGTCGGTGCAACACGTAGACAAGCCCCGGTCTGGCGGTGGTTTGCAAACCAACCCGGGAACTGCAGAAAGGGCGTGCGTTGTCTTCACCGACTGCTGTTGCAGGGCAAGAAAAAGACGAATGCTACGGGCGGCACTTCAGAATGTACAATGCGTTGTTGTGGTGTAGCAAATTGTGTTGACAGGCATGGTTTTCTTTTTGACGGTCTTTGTCGAGATTATGGTTGCGCCGCTACTTTGCTCGGCCAATCAGTATCGAGCCTGGCTGCGAGTGTGGCGCACCCGCTCGTCTCCGTTGGACTTTGGCGCAGCTTTGCTCCGCCTTGTGCAGCGTCGCACAGGATGCGGTTGGCAGCGACTGCAGTCCTCCGTTGTTGTGGTGTCAATAACTTGCTTGGTAACGTAACGACTTGAAAGGTACCTCCCCGCGTGTTTCTGGCAGGCGAGTTTGCACCGTCCACATTGCTTCATGAATCTACGCCGGTTGAACACCCGTGGACCCCACGTTCAGCTCGAAACATCCCTCAGATACCTTGGGCTGTGTTAAAACAGATGCGCCGCCGGCGGAAACACTGGGAATACCGAAACACACTTTAGCACAGAGGCAGCAGCTGGTGGGAGGGAGGGCTCTTGGAGCCCCCCGTGACTGCTCAGATCTCGAAACGGCTCTCTTAGACTTGTGGTCGACGCGCTGCTGAGATCCTGCCCGAAGGTCGATTTTGTTCCCATGATGATGGACCCGCAATTTTCTGGTTTTACGATAGACCCAGAGATACGTTGTTCCCCCTTGGGTAGGTTCAGTTGAGTTGCCGCGCCGCCGAACAAAGAAACACGGCTTATGCATGGCAGAGGAAGAGAAGCTCCCAGAGTCAATTCCACACGCATGTTGCATTCAACGAGATTTCCGTTTTTTTAACTTGGGGCGACCGTCGAACCCCGGTTTTTGAGACGCGAAACACTCCTTAACCGGGTGATTTAAGATGACACGCTCCAACCACGCGAGCAATCTATTGTGGGAGCGAGTCGACCCCCATCAAATCCTTAACATGACGAGTGCGAACAACTCACGGCACATGTTTGCATGGAAGGCGGCGGGGGGTAGTAGCAACGCCCNCAACCCCCCCCCCCCCCCTCTGCACGCGCGCGCTTCAAGAACAACCAGTAGGTGATCCCCAGAGGTGTACTTTAATTCAGCACCTGATGAAAGATAGAACGGATTTGACTGACGCAATTGGAAGCCGAATCTCCGCCGCGGTTTCATGGCCTCCAGGGTAGGGAAAACTGTTTCAGCTTTAGAGCTGCTTCCATGTTTCCGCCACTATTCCTACTTGGTTCAATAATGCCGTTCCTCGAATACAGGTGCCAGTGTTTTTTCAGTTTCCTCTTTGTAGTAACTTGTACTGATGTACTTTGAAAATTTTGTTCCATTTTGTTTGTCTCGCACGAAACCTTCTGCCTAGGAGCCCAAACACGACACTTCCGATTGTCGGCCGAATTCCCTAAGGCCCCTCCCCCAACTCGACACGAGGGTTACCCCCCAACGCGTACTGCACTTGGTTCCGAAATACCTCCCTCCCTCCCAAGACGCCAGAAAGACCTCCAACTCCTGTACTTGCAAGCAAAAAAGCCGTTGTGCTGCACAAACGTTCTGAGCGCAACGCAGCAGGAATTATAACTCATGTAGGACGAGAGTTAAGACTATTGCATGAACACACATCGATCAGTCAGAAGGGCGATATCCGCCAGCCGGTGTTGAGAGGGCTGAAAGGGTTGACCTTGGCCCACATGACGGCTTCGTTCAGCCCGATTACCGTCTCCCCGTCTTCCAGCAAGAAGGTCGCGCCCTTCGCTCTGGGCCACACGTCGTGCCCGAACTTTGGCGAGGACGTGGCTAAGGGTCGTGGCTCTCGCTTGCGAGGCGATGACGAGTTGTTAACCGCGCCGCTCCTGCGTGGCGCTCTCCAGGCGACCCGCTCGTGGCGGCGGCAGCTGGGGAGGCGGGAGCCGCTCGTGATGATCTCTCCTCCACCCTTGTTGTCTTGCCATTCAAAGTAGCGTGGAGGTCGTGTCGATGGTGAGGAGGACCTCGTCGTGTTTCTGATGACGCGGTTGCGGTGGTTGTTGACGATCACCAACTCGCCCTTCCTCCTCCCCCTCCTGCTCCTCGGCCCCCCGCCCTCGCCGCCGGCCTTGTTGCTCTTCTCCTCTGCAGGCCGTCCTCTGGTGTGCTTAGATTCGCCAGCAGTATCGCTGCTTCGGCTGCTGCTGCTGCTGCTGCTGCTGCTGCTGCTGCTGCTGCTGCTGCTGCTGCTACTACGGGCCTCCGTGGGGAGTGCACTACTCATAGAGCCTGCTTTTGACAGTTTCGAAGGCTTGGAAGCAGGAAGAGCATCATGTTTCGTCGTGGCCGCCGCGACCGTCGTTGTCGTCGTTTTGCCGGCGACACCAAAAGTACCAGGCGCCAACGCCGGGTGTTCGGAGTCATACACGGCCTTGGCATCGCCGGCGTGCATGTGGTGGTTTGCCTCATTGCGGACCCGACGCGCGCAGCTCAGCCCGGCCTCTAGGGCATAGCCCGGCACGTCACACGCGGCAGGCGTTCTCGCCGGCGGCGAAGAAGGCGCCACCGCGCTCGCCTGCCTCTTGGCCCACCCGTTCAGGTACTGGACGGAAGCCAAGGCCAGCGCTCCCACGGACATGCACGGCGGGAAGACCCCGGAACGGGGCGGTCCGGTGGGGGAGGACTCCCTACTTCTTCTGCCACCACCACCGTTGTTCGAGGGGGACGTCGATCGGGATCTCCCGTGCGATGGCGGCGGCGACGATCTAGTGCTTCGTCCAGCCCACCGTCTGCGCGGCGAGCGGCTGCGGCGGCGGTGTTGCGCCGCCGCCACTCCCGCTTCCCCCATCTCGCTAATTTTTTTCTCGTTGTCCTCTTTGTCGGATTGGTATCTGCACCCCTTCTCCGTTGCCTCCGCCTCCGAGGCCATCCTCTCGGCAGCTTGAACGCAAGTGGAAGCCGTCCGCAAGAGAGAGCCAACGACGGGGTGGTAACCCCTCGCCACAGCCTCGATCGCCCCGACATAGCTCGCGTACGCGAGAACTTCCATCCGCAAGCCCGGGGAGACTACGCTCGATGACATCCCACCCCCGCTCCCACTGCTAAGAGCTCGCACAACCGCAGCCGCAGACCTGTTGTTGGCGGAACAGCGCGGGAACGGCAAGGCCTGCACGATTTCTCGCAGGAAACAAACGCCGCGCTCCGCCGCCTGCTCCAGGTCGTCCCCTAGCACCAGGAGCCTCACCGCCTCGACGTCCATGCCGCGGCGTAAGGCCGCCGCTGCATCGTCCAGATAGGACGCCGTGCTTCTGAGTCTCAAGCTCGGGCAAGGGTCGGCGCTATTTAGATCAGTGCTTCTTCTGCTGCTGCCACCGCCGCTCTCCCGTCGCCTGCTGGCGGCCGCCCGGGTCGCCACCATAGCGGCACCCCGCGGGCCTGCCTCCTCTCCGAGGGCTCCGTACACGTCAGACGACCAGTATCCACCTTTGGCGGTATCGTTGCCGTTAACGCTGCTTCTGCTGCTGCCGGTGTGACAACCGCGCTCAAAGCTACAGCTTTCCTCGTCACCCCCCGCGTTCAGTAACAGCTCGACCGCCAGGTTCGGGTCTCCCCAAGCCTCTGCCCTTCGCGCCATCTCCCGCACGAGCGGGGTGAGCTCTCGAGCCGGGAACTTGAGGGCTTTAGCGGCGGCGTAGGCGAGCTCTGGCTCTTCTCCTCGGACGAGGAACGCCAGAGCGGACGCGGCCGTCGCGCGGCTGCCGTCGCAGATGGAGAGCATCGCGGCTGCCGCTAAAGCAGGATGCGAGGCCTGAAAGAACTCCTCCGCTTTGGACTCCGTTATAGAGAGCAGCGTTTCCTCGCCTTGGGCGCGCTGAGCGTCTGCTGCTTCTGTCACTGACGGTGACGTACTGTTCGGATGTAAGTCATGTCGCCGGGCGTACTGCGAGGGCGGCAACGCCGATGCGGTGTCCCCTTTGAACCCCGGCCCCTCCTCCATGGAAGAAAATCTCCCGCCGGCGACCCCCCTGCCGCGTCCGCTTCCCCTGTCCACGGTGCCAGCGCTGACACCGTCGGGTCCATCGTATTTCTGCAATGCCGTGCCCTTCCCCTCCTCGTCCTCTGCACTCGCAGCCCCGCCGCCTCCGAGATCTTCGTCTGCGCTTCCTTCCTCGTTCTTGTGATCGTCCCTCGGGGCCCGAGGTTTCGCGTCCCTATCTCTTCCGTCCTCCGCACTGCGAGTTCCGGCGGTCTCCTTCCCCACCGCGATGATATCGACCCCCTCTCCCGTGTGTCGCCGGTCGCTTCCTTTCGCCTCACCGACGGCGCGTGCGTCGATCGACGACGGCGCTTCCTGGGGCAAAGGCTCCGGCGGCGGCGGATAGGCCCCGTCCGCCACCGCGACCGCCAAAGACAACGCGTCCTCGGATCCTTCGAGGACGCCCCGGACAGCCTCCATCGGCCTCCCCGTCGATGCCAGCAGCGCCGCGGCCAACGCCGTCGCGTCCGCGCCGCCGGTCTGCCCCCCCCCGCCGCCGCCGCCGCCGTTGTCATCGACGCAGCCACCACCCCTCGCCTCCCCCACAAGAAGCTCCCGGACGTAGCGGTCGGCGACCGCTCTCCAGTACTCCATCCCCACACCCGGGGCGAGGGCCAACGCGGCCTGCCACCTCCCGAGAGAAATGTGCGCCTCGCACGAGCCTTTCAGGTCTCCCGCCCCCAGGCAGAGCCGGGACGCGCGCTCCAAGCGGTCCGACCGGCCCAGCCGCCTGTCCTGGACGACGAACCTCGGGGACGCTCGCAGGAGCCTCGCGAGCGCTCCGTCGGACTCCCGCCTCGCGTCGCGGTGCACGACGCGCTCTTCCACGCACATGAGCCCTTCCGGCACCCCCCGCAGCGATAGCGTCCGGCTCCCACCGCTCCCGACGTCGGGCTTCGAGCCCGCCGTTCCGCTTTCGCCGCGCTGTCCCCCCCCCGAGAACCGGTCCTGACGTTGCCCGGTCGGCACTCCCCGGGAGGCCGCTGCGGATTCTCCGGATGCTGAAAGGTTTGGGGCGCGGGTAGCGGCGGCGTCCACCCAGCGAACCATCTCCCAGAGAGTGTCGACCCCGTCCGAGGCCCAGAAGTAGTCGAACAGCTTTCGAAACACGGCGATGGATTCCACCCCCTCGGTGCGCCGCAGGCCACGCAGCTGGGTCTCCGCGAGCCTGGACGCGGCGCCGCAGAGCGCCGTCGGGGACGCGGGGAGCATGGCGCTCGCGGCGTCCGAGAGCGCGGAGGACAACGAGCCGCCCGAGAGGACGGCCCCCGTCCTGATGCTGGACGCGACTCCCTCGAGGCCGAACAGCCTGATCGTCGTGTCCCTCGAGACCGAGGCGTACAGGAACGGCCGAGAGGGGGACGCCGAGAGCCCGTACACGTCGGCGACGTGGTCGGACATGACCGCGATGCAGGCCTCGAGGCGGCCCTCGCCGCCGGCCGCAGTAGTATCGTCGCCGCCTCCTCCGATCCCCTTCTCTGAGCCCTGATGGCTGCTGCCGCTACCCCACCGGACTCCGGCCTTGCGGACGTCCCACGCTCGCACTGTTCCGTCCCACGAACCCGAGAGCAGCAGCCAAGGAACCTCGCTGTTCCAGTGCAGCGGCCGGACGTTGCTCGTGTGTCCCCTGAGGACCGCGCTCGGGGAGACCTTGCAGGCGGCGCCGGCGGGCTCGGATCTCGGCAGGGCCTTTCGGGGAAGGCGCCACACTATGACGGTGGCATCGTCGGAGCCGCTCGCTAGCGTTCCCTCAAGGAGGGGGGACCTGCGGACCGTGAGGGGAGGGGCGGGGTTAGAGACGGCACGAGAAAAAATTGCTCGTCCGGCTCGTGTCTCGTGAAGAACGTGCTTGCTTTATGCCTGACCAATAGTCACGCTCCCTCCCACTTCGAGAAGACGGAGAAAAACTCCCTCTGGCAGAATCAAACCGCAATCAAACAACGTTTGGAGGGGGGCAACAGCTTCGAGCCCTTTCTGTACCAAGTTCAAATTAATCAAGCCTTTCTCGTGTGCAGCAGGCAGCAACAGGTGTTTCTACTCAAGAAAAAAAAACGCCAAGCTAAGAAATCTGCGAGAACCGCTTGACACACTCATGTGAACTAACCAGCAAACGTGGAACACCCTCTGCGTGTGTCCGGACAACATGTATTGAGGCTCCAGCCCGTTCGTCCACGAACAATCGAACACCCGGACCTTGCCGTCCTGATGTTGGGGAGTTGGGAAAATGTTTTTGGACGTTCAGCCTAGCACATCCTGACAATTTGGGTAGACGGTCGTCCATCACGTCAACTAAGAGAGAAAAGTTTGGCGGAATGTGAGTTAGGAAGGAAAGAGACCCGCGAGAGAGGGGGTCGGGGAGAGCTAGAAAGAGAGAGAGAGAGAGAGAGAGAGAGAGAGAGAGAGAGAGAGAGAGACAGACAGACAGACAGACAGACAGACAGACAGAGAGAGAGAGAGAGAGAGAGAGAGAGTCAGACAGACAGACAGACAGACAGACAGACAGAGACAGTCAGACAGACAGAGACAGACAGACAGACAGACAGAGAGAGGCTGTGCGAAACCGCAACAACCTACAAAACCGCCAAGGCGCACAACTCTCTCCGAGAGAGAACGAGGGAGGGGGGGGAAACAAAGACTATGGTTATGTTGCCGGCGATCAGGTACAGGGCACGGGGGTAACGGCTCGTTGCAACCGAGAACATGTTCATTCACAATGGAACGGACAGGTGTTGGGTTCGGCTCAGCTAGTAAACAAACGTCTTAGCCTAGTTAGGGATCGTGGCAGCATGCGCTTATTTCTCGCTGCCGTACGTTGTTCCTTTCGTCACCACGAGGAGTTTTTTTGTCAAACGAAGCGCTCGGAGTGTGTCGAACTCGTTTTCATCCGTCAGCTAGACTGGCCATTCAACGAGAAATAGGAGGCGAGCGGCTGGTCAGCCGTCGAGATAGGCACCCTTTCGCGGTTCGGTTCTGGTTGTTTGTGACTGACCGACGTCGCCCGCCGCTTGAATGCCTGACCGCCTCCGTGACATCACTAACTAACCATCATCAAGGGGGGGGTGGGGGGGGATCCGAGCTCAGCCAATATCCACGTATTGAACAATGGTGACGCGCTCACCTTGCAGCCCGTCGCGATGACGTTTTCGCGGGTCGGGCACCAGTTGCAGCCGAAGAGCGCATCCGGGTGGGTGTACACGCGATACACTGTCCCTTTGTCGCTGAATACGACCAGACTGCCTCGTTCGTGTGATTGTGGTCAGATACAAATCGTACACGCAAGGGCGGCGCACGATTTACTTGCTGTTGTCGTTGCTGATGCTGCTGTCGGGGGTGTCTTTGCACGTGAGAGGTCAGCCTGCGAACCCCCCTTGGACCTCAGTTCTGGGATCCTAACTGAACGTAGAGATGGATAGAGACATCTGTTGTGTCCGCAGACTCGCCAGGGTCAGCATGGCCACATCGTGAGACAAGCAAGCCTCAACGTTCGGAGGAGACAATTGTGGATTTCAACCGTGTTAACCCCGCACACGTCGATAATTGCCGGTCAACCGTACACGCAAGGCACCCACAAAACAGCATCCCGCGTGGCTTCAGTTCTGTTCGGCCTATGCATACACACGCTTCTATGGACTGCTGTCTCGGCTAAACACATTGTGCTCGTATCCAGCCCTTGTTCCTTGACCGCACGTTAAACTGGTTGTACACGGGACTCTTCCCGTGCAGCTTCACCGTTCCCACGAGTCGCGCAATATCGGGGCTTTCTGAGTAGTATTGAATCAACTCGCGTTCTGGGTCAGCAAGCGGCTATGGCATGCTTCGCCCACAACGTTCGGATCTGGCGGGACAGATTGGTGCACCTCGTGTCTGCGCCCACGGGGGTTAAAGCCGCCCGTGTCGGAAAGAGACGGGGATAAGGCGGAAGAAAACAGAAAAAAGAGGCTTCCAGCTATGGCGTAACGTCTCCCCTACAACGCAAGAAGGGCGCAACAAACGATCACACTTCGGTCCTCCTTTCCAAGCAAAGGAAGCCAGCGCAAGAACGAGGAGAACGAGGTGCAAGCCGGAATAGGTCTACCGCCGCACCGGCTTAAAAGGCAAACAATAGCCTACTTACGTCTTGTCCGCGCTAACGGAGGCAAGGCGCCCGGGTTGGAACGGGTCCCACTGCACCCGGTGGGCGGCGCTAGCGTGGAGGCGGATCTGCCGCTCGACCTTGCGCGACCCGACGTCCCAGATCCAAACCGTACCCTTGCCGGATGTGGAGGCTATCCGCTTCCCGTCGAGGCTCCAGGCCACGCAGTAGATCGCGCCGGTCGGTCCGCTGAGAGTCACCTGTCGTTTTTTTTATGTCGGTTTGTGCGTTGGTCCGTTTGTCGTGTTTGTTTGCTTGCTTGTTTGTGGTGTCTGTTGTTTGAATTGTTGTTGTTGTTGACTTCACATTAAACCGTATGCCAGTTGCTAAATGCCAAAATCTAGCAAAGACTCTCGGCCCGTGGTCACGAAAGTGCTGGAGCCATCTGAGGATCTAAAGAACACGCACACGTAGCAAGAAAAAGGTGTACAAGAGCCCGAAGAGGTACTACTACACCT